GGAATGAATAAATAACGTCTCCCAACCAGAACCTGGACTGCCATTTCGGTTCTTAGCGAGCTCCACGTAGCAAGTTGAGCAGACAGGCTGCAGGCAGGACACTCTGATATAGTTTTCATTATTTTTAAATCATTCCTCTAAGAGCTTTTTATTTGTGGATAATGGCAACACGGGGTGAATAGAGAGTGTAGGTGATAATCTGCAATAGGAACATGGTGGTGGCACTTCTCCCCACTTGGTTCTGCTGGTCTCCCTAAGCTGTGAGCATAACTGAGCTGGTGGGGAATTTTTCTCGGGAATGCTTTGCAAGAGAAAATGGGGTGTTTTTGGAAAATACATCATATTCCACACAAACATGTCAATGTTGCTAAAAAAAAGCTTTGATTTTTCTTTTGAGAAAACTGAAAAGGCTGCACTGCAGCATCCCTCCAGGGTGGAGAACTCAGTTTCACCATCGGCTTAGCAGGGAAAAGCTAAATCAAGGCTTGCCTTGCAGGCACGGCACACAGCGGAAGCCCTGCTGCTGGGCAGAGGAGAGGCACAGAGGCCAAGAACCGCAGCTCTCTCGCTGCCTGGAGGGATGAGCATCCCAGGGAGGCAGGGGCCAGTTCGCGCTGGCTTAAAACAGACAACCGGCTTCCTGCAGGTCATTGGCTCGGTCCATGGCTCTACCAAAACAGGCAGGGTCCAGCTGTTCACACACGAGGCTTAAATGGGAATTAAGTCAAATTAGTTGGGATTCTGCTGAGGCACAGTGCTAACTTGAATAATTCACAGGTATTTATCTGTGCCACTGAACTTGATGGCATGGAAGGTCTGGATTTGGTGTAGCCCCAAATGCTCTGGTGTGAGTCAAAATGGTTATCTGTTTTTAGCCTCAGTGTCCTGGAAGGCTCCTGCTAACGTTATCATCTAGCTGCAGCGAGGAAGTGGAAGTGGTAAGGAGCTTCCAGGCAGGTGTCTGGCAGGCTGAAAAATTCTCGCTTCTCCTGAAATGGGATTTTTTTTTTCTGGGTTCAGTCTCACTGTAGGCAGCAATAGCAAAAAAGCTGTTACTGTATGATAACTTTCAGGTGTCGCGTTCATTTGCCAACATGAAATGAGTCGGTGGCCTTAGTTCATGAGCAACATCCAGATTTAAATAGTATTTATAGTCTTAGCAGAGAAGATCCAGCTACATCCAGAACCAAATGCTGTGCTTTGGTTCGGACACTTCTGTGGTTCCAAAATGACTTTTTTGGGCTAGTGCACCATGCTCATAATACACTGCATGCATGTGTCCTACAGAACTCGTAGTAGAGATGATCTCTTTTATCAGACCAACAAGATTTTTGCAAAAACATTTCTTTAATGGCAAGCTTTCGAGCACAAGCACCTATCATCAGACATTAGAGAAAAGATTGTAAAAGTTCCCCTGGGTAGAAAGTTCATTTTTCATAGGATACCTGACACATGAAAAATATTGAATTTTAGCCAATATTTTAATGAAATCTTCATATTTTCCCAAGCAGGAAGCAACTGTGACCACCTGAAACCCAAGATCCTGCTCCTGCCTTTGCTTCAAGGTCATTTGCATCAGCACAGATCCTCACAGGAGGCTTCGTACTAGCTATGAACCGACTGCCCCAAGGAGTTTTCCATCTATTGACTCCTCTGTGAAATCCTATGAAATATGAACTTGCATTTCTGCCCAGGAGGACTTTTATAATCTTTTCTCCAATGCCTGATGAGAGGTGTTTGTGCCCGAAAGCTTGCAATTTAAAGAATTTTTTTTTTTGGCAAAAATCTTGTTGGTCTAATAAAAGATATCATCTCTACTACGAGTCCTGATTGCCTGTGTCCTACAGGAGGAATTTATCATAAGACTAAGAACCCGTATTGTAAGGCGCCAGAGTCTGTTCAGAGATAAGTGCGTGCATTTAGTGCAAGAGACTCGTCAACCAATTACAATGGAGTTATTCCTTACTTTACACCAGTGAAAATGAGAGCAGGACCAGGCATGGATCTCTACAGAATATATCGAAGAGCTCAAGTTAAATTTTTAACACAGCAAATCTTTCTCAGCTTGATGGGCTTTCCCCTACCCCTCCATTTTTTTTAATATCTAAGTGATTTGGGAACCTATTTCCTATTTTTAAAGTTGTTTGGGTTTTTGTCTCCTTGAAAGTCACCAGGACATAGACTCCTACGTTGCTTAGCTGCTTTTGAATATTTGCCTACTGACACTACATAAAATTAAGTCTTTTTTTTTTGTTTGGTTGGGGTTTTTTGCAGAAGTACTTATCCAGTAATTATGGCATCATGACGAGGAGGGAGTGATGTGTATGTGATTTACCTGACTCATCGTGCAAATTGAATGGGTTGCAAAAAACAAGTGAGCACAACAAAGTGCTGTTTAAGGTTAAGCTTTAAACTGGGACTCTCGAGAACGGTAGATAAAAAATAACGCATGTTCTTATTATAACACTTGGCAAACATAGTTGCCATGGGAACTTTGCATCCCATAGCTTCCAAATCGACCCAGTCCTGCTTCCAGTGAAGTCAATGGAAGTTTTTGTCATTGTCTTCAGTGGGAGCAAGATTGCCTTTCTTACAGAAATAACAATTTGGGACATGACTGATAAAAGTGCTGGAGAAGTTAAAGACAAACGAAAAGAAAAAAGCTGCGTGTGTTTAAGCAATAGATCAATGTAACCACTGGCTAATTAATAGCATTAGAAAATCCATGCCAAAAGTAGGGTCTTAGTGGGGAATAAAAGCCACCATATGCCATTTGTGCCTTCCAGGGGGATGCTGTGTTTATGCCATTGATTTTACATAAGAGATCTGGATGTCAGATCGAACCATGAGCCGTTCTCCAGGGAATGCACAGCAATGCTGTGGTCACTGTGAAGAAATGCTGTTTCTCCACTCGCATTTCACCACAGGAAGAAAGCGATGAGGAGAAATCCTCCTGAGCTAGGAAGAGGAGAGAAACGCACAGGCTTGCAATAAAGGAAGCAGCTAGCCCCCTCCAGCCTATTCAAGTGTGACCGTGGAGCAACAAATCAGGAGGCACTCGCATTCCCACAAGATCAAACTCAGCTTTTAGGTAGTGACAAGCCCCGTGATGCAAATCAGAAACCAAATGAGTTCGCCGTAATCCTCAGCATCACTGCCTACGGGAATCCAGGGAAAAGAGGGGCTCCAGCCAAAATGTTCAGATCCCAGAATTTCCTAGAGTTTTGTGCCTGCTTGATTCTGATTTGTTCCGGTTTGGAGCATTATCAGGAGAGGAAAGATCTGTGAAGTCTGGAGTTGACCTTGGGTTTCTTTTGGAGCCAAAGGTGTTGTGAATGCAGGGCAGAGCAGGCTGGTCGTTCTCTCTGCTTCGTTATTCCGTGGCTATTGCGCAGAATTTCTTTTCCGGGAAAGCTGAGGCATAAATGGGAATACATTCTTGCTTCCATGGCTGTGGTTCAATTGACCATCAAATGCAGGGGCTGTGATGGGAGGACACTAGCTGAGCTTTGGTTTTGTCTGGGGTTGGGGGCCTTTTTTTATTTTTTGCTTTGCCTTGCTCAAGGGAGGAGAGTCTTCCACCTTGCTGGCAGTCCCGAGTTACTGGAGTAGTTCTTCTCACCCTTCTGAGATGTCAAGTAGCACATGCCTCTGGGAAGATTTTTGCTTCTTTACTATAAATGTCTCTTCTGGCCCAATTTAAAGAACAGCTGTGAGAGCAAGCCTGCCAAAACACGTTTGCTTCTGTGAGCAGAGTCACCTAGGTTGGGTGGGTAAATGTCCCATTTGTTTATGCAAATGTCTGCTTTGCAAATGCACCTGATGCAGTTCACTTGTGAAAAGTTTGCCCTATGCAAATAAACTGTGCTGCATCCCTACGCCCTTTTCGGTCTCATGCCCTTGACGCACTTGGCCTTGGGATGACCTCTCCTGCCTCTGTTCCCAGGCTATCCGGGACAAGGGTAGGAGGAGAGCATTTCATATGAAGGTTGATTGACTTGGCAGACTCACAGGAAAGTAGGACTGGAAGGGGACCTTAAGGGGCCACATCTAGTCCAGCCCACTGCTCAAGGCAGAAGCATCCTCGACTGAACCAGTTCCAGTCCCTGACTCTCAAACTGCTGTCCACAGACACCATTTGCTGGCGGTTTCTGGAAAGGTGGCTGGCCAAGTAGTGTTCACTCCTTGTTTCCAGCTGCTAAATAGCATTAAAAGAGAGCCACAAAGACCTGTTTTCTGTTCATTACTTTCCCTCAAAGACGGCTGCTGTGGCTGCCATGGGGAGGTTTTGTGTTCACACAGATGACTGGAAGGCCCTCGTGGTCAGCAAAGGGAGGGGAGATGGCCCATGCAGTGGTCATGCAGTCCCCAGTGGGAGGGGAGATGCCCAAGCGATCGTCTCGGTTAAGACAATGTCTGCAGTGTACATGTTTAAGGAATCCTGATTAGGCCGTAACACAGGGTCACCCTGGAAGTCAATGGCAGGACTCATATGAAGCCGGTCCAGGGTATCTTCTCTTCCGGTCATTTCAACCTCTGCCTAGCCAAGTCTTGGTGTAGCTTCAGGCACCCTACAGTTGCTGACAATGGGGGAATAGGATATTCCCTGGGGAGGTGCTATTCCACTCCTCAGGCAGCTCCAGTTATTTCTGTTGGCCGAGGAAATCATTTATTCTGGTTCCTGCAGTTCTTGATGAAGTTTGCAATGTCGGGCCCCCAGCCTTCAGCAGCAACAGCCAAGAAAGAACGGCTGAGTGTTGGTTTGCTAGTTTGTGGCCTCAGGCAAACCTGAAGTCATTACTAGTCCACTCACTGTGCTAATGACTTTTTTTTACTGGATGTATAATTTAATATATGGTAACTTTCATGCCTAATTATGCCCTTCAAAGCTTCTCTTGAAGGATTTTTTTTTTAGATACATTTATTTAAAATGTATAGCTTTGCCTGCCTGTAACACCAAGTTATTTTTATTTAGATGTACTCCTGCAGATACACATATTCGCTGTTTCATTCTGTTCATTGCTTTTCTTCAAGTGCTTGAAAAATAACTACTGGAGATCAATTCCTGCCATTTTATACAATGGCAACACTTCACATCTCAGTGAGTCTAGCCACATCTTTTGAGATGAGGTTTAAAACCAAGTATTGATCAATTAGAAGCATTATTCCATGACACTTTTCATGAAGCGACTACTTTTATAATCCTAGCATATCAGCCACATTATGGTTTGGATTAGTATGTTTTACCTACCTAAACATCCCCCTGCAAATGTAGGTTGGGTGTTACAGTCTACGTGTTATACTCTTAACTGGTGTGCAGTGTTGCTAAGAGCTGGCCGCAGACTATTATGCTTGACCCTGAAGGCTAATGCATTCCAGTAGTAATGGGTATGACTCCTATGGGTGGGATTTTCAAACACGCTTAGCATTGGCTTACTTTGTTCCCTCTGAAGCCACTGGAAGTTCAAGCACTAACTTCAGTGGGAGTATAGTCTGGACTATGAGGACTGCCTCTGAAAATCCCTCCTGTATTTTGGACGCAGTGCTGGGACCATGACTACATGGTAGATCTACATGCCAGGCAGAAGAGCCCATCCATGTGTGCTTCACTGGTCTGTGTGGGCTACTTCCTAAACCAGAAGCAGTCTGCATTAGTCTGCATGGCATCATAAGCAGACTAATTAGCTTGAGGCAGGTCCTTACCACTCAGGGATACTAATTAGTTCACCTGAAGTGCTGAATGGACACATCAGCCTTGCTTCCTCATCAGAAGTCTACGTAGAGCAGCATGGTGTGCTTGGATACAGGAATTTACTGTATAGGAAGCACTGGGGTGAAAGGTTGTGCATGTGGGATGCCTTCCCTTAAATCCCAAATCCATTGCTCTTGCAGTGAAAGCATATTACAGCACTGTCCTGATCATTTCTTAAACAAGGCAGCAGACTGAGATTGCTGATAGAAAGGAAGTTCGGTTTTCCCTATGTGAGCTCTGCTCCCTACTTCATGGAGATTAGCATTTTCCCTATATTGTTTTCAATTCCAAAGAGCAAACAAAGGCTAATCTCCTGCTTGAATACACTGACACTGTATTGATCCACTAATAGGATCGCCAGAGTTTTGACTTAACGAGCCCTGGAAGAGGATAATCCTGTTTGTTCGGCCATCCAGAACTCCAGTGTTCTGAGATAATCTGAGTGCTGCCAGGAGGAGACATGAGGTGCCACAGGCTGCAACTCATTTGTGCTCTCATTTGTCTTGAGATCATCTGGTGTGATGACCCTCCTAGCCTGCTGGGATTCACTCATCTGATGACGGCCGCCCATGGCACAGGAACCAAGGAAACCAGCTCAATCCTATTACAGCATCTGTCTTAACACAAGCCGCTTAGAAACATCTGCAAGACACTTCGTACAGTTGCACCCAGATGTTGCAAAATGATCACAGCTCTCTGGAGAAAATCCTTCTTGTTCTTTTCAGGCCAGATTTTACAAAGGCAGATAATCAGGACATGACTAGTTAAGCATCCAACCAACAGGCCTGATCTTCAGATACTCTGATTAGATAGATTGGTTTTAATGTGACATCAGGTATTTGCAGACAGATTGGATCTTTACATTGCACAGTTGCTCCTGCCTCCTTTTGATAATCACGTCCTTGAAAGTATTTTATCTGGTGATTTTGTTTGCTTTGAAATGGGGTCTCATAAAGTCTCTTGAGAGAAAGTAGGTTATTTAGATTTCGAAAGATTTTCTTTTATCTGCTCATGCAGTCATTAAGATTTGACACCTCCTATTATACCCTAATCACTTTGCATTTGCTGGATAAGGTTACAGGGACAGGTAGTATACTCCATTTTATTTAATCTCTCTCGTCATGCTTATTTAACAGTTTCCATTGCAGAAATTGTTGGTAACATTAACTCTTGCAACTGAGATGCACTCTGTGGATTAACTTCAAATAACCGTGTTGGGCTGAGAGTTATATCTGATCATCTCTGAACCATCATACTTCACAATGACAGGTTTATAGCGCTTGCCAGGCTGGTAGTAATGAGTGCGTGGTAAGCCCTTTAAGCAGAGAACTGCAGCTAAACACAAAGAAACTCCTCACTATGGTGATAGTGGCAAATATTGAACATATGTCCGATGTTTCAAGGGCTCAATACGATGCCTTCTTTCATTAATATTTTACGAGATACTAACTTTATTTAACCTTCCAAACATGAATGGGGAAGAGAATCCATGGGACAGCATGAAACTATACACACTTTATAAGTACTAGTTTTGGGGGCTTGGTCTAAGGATAAAAAGGCGATGTTTCATTCCCTGACTACTGGAGGGTTGTTCCAGGTCTTGTCCATGGCCTTTGGGGCTCTCTTATCTCTTTCATATGCCCTGTTAAAGAAATGGGCTTTGTAAAGTGTGAATTCCCCTCAGGTTTCTTCTCCCTGGTTTCATCCAGGGTGGTACTGTATGGCTGAACTTGTCTTGAAGACTCCTGGCAACATCTTCTACAAAGGGCAGTCTAGTGTAATCAAGTGCCATGGTGGATTCTTTACTAGGGCTAGCAGAAAGAAAAGGTGCCAGCAGTCTAGTATAATGGCTTGCAGAAAATAAGCAATAGAAGATAAGCATAATAGCTCTTAACGTGGCTCATAGGGGCAGTGCAAGAGAGGGGGGATGATCCCACCAGCAGATCCCACTAGAGTTTAACCTTGCCATTGGTACTTACCATGGGGATCCATGCACGTTGTCCTGCTCTAATGCCAACCTGCTGCACAGGTGTCGCAAGGGCACAGGCAACCTCACTGTTTGGCATGTGATGGATTGGGGGCAGGTCTAATTCATGGCATGCCTGTTGAAAAGGTTGGCTCCACGACTCCAGTGGTTATCCCGATTTGGCTTCCCTTGATCATCCACTCTATCAAGGTGCTGTCTCCAGCTTACTGCGAGAGCTGCTTGACTGTTCACTGCTGGTAGGAGAACACAGTGCTCTGATGAGTTGCTGCTTCTAGACTATCAAACACCCCTATTCGAAAAGTATTTGCACACAAATAATCACTCATTCAGTATTATCAGTGCTGCTGGATGTCCAAATGACCACGGCAACAAGCCATCCTCTAACACCTCCACATGAAACAGGCCAAGACACTGCACCCCATCCACTTAGGAACAGCCCTGGCCATGCATTCATTTGGGAGTTTCACACAGTGTTATGACAAGTCATTATTTCTAGAAGTGAAGGCACTTGTTCTTAGAAAACTTCACTTGGTACAAATTGCACTGGCCAACCTACTTGGCAACATTGGTCATGTGAGCCTGTAATTTTGGTGTGCTGTTCCCTGTACTGGTTTCTGTAGTATCCATTCTGTGTCCTCTGGCCTAATACTGTTCCTTGCTCCCTGAGAAATCGCTTCTTCATATATTATCCCGACTTTTTAGAATGCCCACGTTCTATCCAAACTATAACATGAATACCCACTAGGGGTGACCAGAGCTTTCCCAGGCGGTGGACTTAGACTACAGAACTTGCTATCACTAGAAATAAGATGAACCATATTACCTTTTCTCAGTAACTTCTTCATACAAATATATAACATATTTCTCCTGTACCCTCAAAAGGGAGACATTATTGTTATTCCTACCTATGTAGGAATAGATCTTTCACTGCAATGCCTGAATTCTGTATAAAATAAATAGCAAAAGTGAAATCTCTGGCCCTGTTCCACTTTTAAATAATTTAAACAGGCTCCAACTTTACCATGTAAATAACTAGAGAGATAACCTTTAGGGAAGGTTGGCTGTGAAATAAGCAGGGATAACTCTGATGAATAAGCAGTTGCAGACCAAATAGCGGCAACACCACCAGGATGTGGTAAGGACAGCAGATGGCAATGCTTTCCCTCCTAAAAAGCCACATATATCCTTTGACAGTGCTGTGATATGTCGAGTATGGTTGCCACTATAAATATGCCCAGCCCCCAGCCATGGGTCTACAAGTCCTCAACGGCGGGGCAAGTGGAAGAAGATGTTATAATCTCAATGGCTAAAAGGCAGATGAAGGCTGCAGCAGAATGAGATCTCCCATTGTCTTGGTCTCCCTGCCATTGCATCAAGGTCCTGTTCTGTCAAGAGCCGTGTGGAAGCTGATGTGCAGCAGCTTCTCCATGACAAAAAGTCATGCACAGGTGTCTTCATTAAAACAGCTCTTCCAGCATATTCCCCAAGCCCTTTGGTGGCCAGCTAATGGCAATGGGATCAGGATTGTGAGGTCTGGAAGCTCCTAATCAGGAACTGGTATGAAAACAGCAGTTACAAGAAGGTCATCTAGCACTTGGATGAAACAGAAGTGCAATTCAACCCATGATCTAAGAATTGGCACCTGAGTGACTATGGCATCCTCCATGCCTGGGATTGCAAATATGTCTGCATCACCTAAACCAGAGGTTGTCAACCAGAGGTATGCATACCCCTGGAGGTACTTGAACTGGTCCTACAGGATATGCGCAGGCAGGCAGGGACGGAGTGCTGCCACCTCCCAGGAGCAGGGCTGGGGTGAGGCGAGGGTCGTGGCACCCCTCTGCAGGGTGGGGAAGCTCACATGCGGTGGTTGCCACCGCCACACATCAGCTGGTGAGTTTTCCTGCCCCACCCTGGTTCTGCTCCTGGGGGATAGCAGTGCTCTGTTCCACCTGCCTGCATGCCCTCCTCGCCTCCCTGCTCCGTGTCCGGCCATGCTCAGTGTCCGGCCACTGGAGGTACTTAGACTAAAAAAAAGGTTGAAAACCCCTGACCTAAGCTATGCTAGGAGCTGATGACTGCTGGACTGATCACCAACTCATCCACACGGTTATGTCTCTCAGATTGGCTCCCAAACAATGGCTGCAGCAGAAGCAATGCTGATGGAAGATCAACGTTGAAGGACTTGAGGACCCATGCAAGTGAGATGTCTTCCATCAGTGCTTCAAAGATAAATTGGTGAATTCTGATCAACAGCAATGGGAGAATGTCAGCAGCATGTGAGATGCCCTCAAGACCACTGTCATCAGCCCTTATGAAGAGACACTTGGATTCTCTATCAGGTAACATCAAAACTGATTTGATGAGAATGACCGGGAGATTCAAGAGTTGATTGATCACAAGTGCAAGTCTTTTATGCTTGGCAAAATGACACCAACTCCAAGCAAAAGAAATGGATTCTCCAACCAGCCAAGGCAGAGGTCCAAAGGAGGACCTGCGATATGAAGAATGAATGGTGAGAAGACAAGGCTAAGGATATTCAACATCTCACTGACATCCACAATATGTATGGTTTCATCAGTGCCAACAATGCCGTCTGTTGTCTGAGCACTCAGGGACCAACTCCCTTGAGACCTCCAGACCGCAGTTGGAGTACTGCGTGCAATTGTGGGCGCCGCACTTCAAGAGGGATGCGGATAACCTGGAGAGGGTCCAGAGAAGGGCCACTCGTATGGTTAAGGGCCTACAGACCAAGCCTTATGAGGAGGAGAGAAACTGGACCTTTTCAGCCTCCTCAAGAGAAGGTTGAGAGGCGACCTTGTGGCTGCCTATAAGTTCATCACGGGGGCACAGAAGGGAATTGGTGAGTATTTATTCACCAAGGCACCCCCGGGGGTTACAAGAAATAATGGCCACAAGCTAGCAGAGAGCAGATTTAGATTGGACATTAGGAAAAACTTCTTCACAGTTCGAGTGGCCAAAATCTGGAATGGGCTCCCAAGGGAGGTGGTGCTCTCCCCTACCCTGGGGGTCTTCAAGAGGAGGTTAGATGAGTATCTAGCTGGGGTCATCTAGACCCAGCAATCTTTCCTGCTTATGCAGGGGGTCAGACTCGATGATCTATTGAGGTCCCTTCCGACCCTAACATCTATGAATCTATGGAGGAGACCTGATCAAGGAAAGGGGAGCCATCACTGCCTGTTGGAAGGAGCATTTTGAAGACCTTCTCAATCAAGACTGTGTTCTCGATGAGAGTGTTCTCAACACCATCCTGCAACACCCAGTCAGAGATGATCTTAGCATCCCCCCAACCTTTGATGAGATGAGGAAAGCCATCAAGAAGTTGAAGAACAACAAGGCATCTGGAGCAGATGACATCCCAGAGAAATCTTCAAGCAGTGGGGAGAGGAGCTCACATCACAGCTTCATGCCATCGTCTTAAGGATCTGGAATGATGAGGAAACCCCAGACAATCTCAGGGATGCCACGATTGTGACAAATCTTCAAGAAAGGAGACAAGTCTGACTGTGGAAACTACAGAGGGATCGCCTTGCTGTCCACCACAGGAAAGATCATTACAAGAACCCTCCTGAACCGTCTCCTTTCGCTTGCTGAAAAGCTCCTCCCAGAATTTCAGTGTGGGTTTAGGACATCGAGAAGCACAACTGACATGATCTTCACAGCTCACCAACTGGAGAAGAAATGCCAGGAACAACACAAACCTCTCTACAGGGCCTTCTTTGACCTCATGAAAGCTTTCAACTCTGTCAGTCAAGAAGCGTTGTGTAGCATCCTTCTGAAGTACAGATGTCCACTGAAATTTGTCACCATTCTCTGCCTGCTCCGTGATGGCATGCGAGAGGTAGTTCTTAGTAATGGATCTATCACAAATCCCTTTGAGGTTAAAAAGGGAGTTAAGCAGGGCTGCATCATCACTCCTACACTGTTTTCAATATTCCTCGCAACAATACTACATCTGACCACCAACAAGCTTCCAGCCAGAGTGGAGCTAAACTACTGAATGGTTTAACTTCAGCTGACTCAGAGCCAAAACCAAAACCACACTGCACTCAATCATTGAGCTCCAGTATACCGATGATGCTGTAGTGTGTGTTCACTCAGAAACAGACCTTCAAGCAGTTCTTGACATCTTTACCAAGGCATACAAGAAAATGTGACTGATGCTTAACATTCAGAAGACCAACAGGCTCCTAATGAACAGTCCCCAGCTCCGGTAATCCAGACCCATGGTGAGACTCTGGAGAATGCTAAATATTTCCCATACCTCAGAAACCATCTCTCGCAGAAGGCTGACATTGATGAAGAAATGCAACATCGCCTCAACTGTGAAAGTGCAGCCTTTGGACTCCTGAATAAATGGGTGTTCAAAGATTGCCACATCAGATCCAAAACCAAGCTCATGGTTTACCAAGCAGTCATGATCTTCACCTTGCTGTACAGAGCTGAGACATGGACAATGTACAGGAGACATCTAAAGTTGTTGGAGAAAGACCAACAATGCTGCCTGTGGAAGATCCTCCAAATCCAGTGGGAAGACAGATGCACCAGTGTTAGTGTCCTCCTGCAAGCAAACACCATGAGTATTGAGGTGATAGTCAACTTCGCTGGGCTGGCCATGTCATCCAGTTGTCTGACTCCAGACTACCAAAGCAAGTTTTATTCTCCCAGCTCAGCCAAGGCATATGCTCAAGAGGGCAGAGAAAGCACTTCAGGGATGTCCTCAAGGCCAACTTAAAAAAATGCAACATTGATGTCAGCTCATGGGAGACTATCACCCAGGACTGCCCAAATGGAGGAAGAGTCTGTTGTAGGGAACTCAATACTTTGAAACCTCACAACAATAACATGAAATGGAAAAAGCAGGAGTGGCAGAAACAGCATGTTGCAAACCAAATCAAGAACTCAGCGCCACCCACCCCATGTGGAAAAACATGTCTGAGCTGCAGTCAATCCCAGAGAGGCCTCATCAGCCATCTTTGAACACACAGATAAGACCATTATGGAAGACAATCATCCTTGACGGAGAAGTATGGCCGAAGAAGAGACGATCACAATTGAAAATGCATTTTATTCCCATTTGCTACCTCCTGTTTGTTTCTATTTCTTTCCATTTGGACAGTGGACCAGTCAATTTCACTATTTTCAATTTCTGGTAATTTTTTCTCAAGTAAGAGCACTGCAAAATTTGGCTTACAAATGGGACAAGAGCACA